TTTTGATTTTGAAGGGGGGCCTACGCGCCTGGTGAAATAACTACGAGGCCCACGATCTATATATATACATAAATCCAAGTCAAAGCTCTCTGGACGCGTCGGCGTGTGTCACACGAATCAGAACGTAACGATTCTATTTCCATCTCCGTCGCTGTTCTACATCAATCGTCTGAGATCTTTCGATCGCGATGAAGCTCTCCTTCTCTCTTCCGTCAAAACCCTCATCCAGGCCAAAGCCCTCCCGGAACGGCGACGAGGAGCCGGAAAAGAAAGAATACGTCACCGAATTCGATCCCACCAAAACCCTACCCAACTCCAAACTAAAACCTAATATCGTAATCCCTCCGAAGGAGAACGAATGGCGTCCCTACAAGAAGATGAAGAATCTCGATCTGCCTCTCAATTCGGACGGTTCTCGCGATCTCCAATTCGAGGTTGAGTCCGCCGCCGCTGCCGCGGATAATTCTCAGAGTGACAACATGTCATACGGCCTCAATCTCCGCCAGTCGTCCAAGGATGGTGCGGATGCGAAACAAGGAATTGGTGAGTCTGATAGTTTTGTTCTAGCGGAGGAGGTCTGTCTGCAGAGTTTGAAGGAAGACTTGGAGAGGCTGCCAGAAGATCGGGGTTTTGCCGAGTTTGAAGACTGTCCGGTGGAGGACTTCGCACCTGCTTTGCTTGCTGGGTACGGATGGAAAGAAGGTCAGGGTATTGGGAAGAACGCTAAGGAAGATGTAAAAGTCAAGCAGTACGAGAGGAGGGGTGGGAGGGAAGGGTTAGGTTTCAGTTCCAAGGAAATTAAGGAGAGTTTACGCGATCCAAAGAATAATAGGGGAAATCAAAGTAGAGAAGAAAGGGTAAGGGAGGACGGAAACGGTTTTTTCGTAGGGAAAGATGTTAGAATCATTGGGGGTAGAGACATGGGTTCGAAAGGTACTATAGTGGAGAAATTGGGGGTTGATTGGGTTCTTTTGAGGTTAAAGAAGAGCGAAGAGGAAGTTAAAGTGCGTGTTTTTGATATAGCGAATTTGGGTTCTAAGGAAGAAGAGAAGTGTTTAAAGAAATTGAAGGAGTTGGAGATTGGGGATGGCAAAAATTCGAGTCACAAGGGAGATGAAAGAAAGGCCAGTAAACGGAGCAGGGAGAGTGAGAAAAGAGGTGCAGGTAAAGTGGATGTTGAAAGAGTCAGGAGTGATAAGGAGCGTGGGGTTTCATGGCTTAGGAGTCACATTCGGGTTAGAATTGTAAGCAAGAATTTGCAAGGGGGAAGGTTGTATTTGAAGAAGGGGGAGGTAGTGGATGTTGTTGGACCTTATATGTGTGATGTATCTATGGATGACAATCGGGAATTGATCCAAGGAGTTGAACAGGAGCTTCTTGAGACTGCATTGCCTAAACGAGGAGGGTCTGTGCTTGTTTTATATGGGAGGCATAAAGGTGCTTATGGAAGTTTGGTAGAGAGGGATTTGGATAGGGAAACAGGTGTGGTGCGGGATGCTGATAGCCATGAGTTGCTAAATGTGAGGCTCGAACAGATTGCAGAGTATGTCGGAGATCCAAGCTACATTGGTTATTGATTCTGATAACAGCAGATTAGAGACTATACCATGGCCGTGTCCCCTAATCAAGTTAACAGGTATTTTGCATTAAATCTTTCTTTTTCTGTTCTTATGTTTTATGCCTGCATTTTAGATGCTGAAAATGATAATTGCTAAAAGAATTCCTGCTGTATTGGTCATACTTGTTGATTTGAAGAAAAAAAAAATTATTTATCAACAATCAGCCATTTCAATTTCTTAGTTATGAGTTACTTATTTGACCACCTTGAAATTGATGTTTAAATTAGCTTGAGCATATTCAATAATGTTCTTTGTTATTTATTTGAGTGTTTTAGTAAAATTTAGGATGTTACGCTACTTTGGGTTAGCATAGTACTGTAACGCCCCTGTAAACTGATTGGCAGATCTTTTTTGGTTTCTGTTAAGATTTGTCACTTGTCTTGATCCCTTGGAAGCCCCTTTTTTTTTTCTTCTTTTTTTCTTTTTTGTGGGGTGATTTGATGGCATTGCTTTTTGCCCATGGCTATTTATTCTTTGCATTTGTTGGATAATGGAATTGGATTCAGAACTGGTGCAAAAGGTGTTACGTAGATTCTAGTTTACCAATAATGGCTTGTTTTAGAGGTTTATAAGAGTGTAGATTTGTCTGTCTATATTGCTCTACAGTCATCGGACCTTATGAAAGGTTAGTAAAGATGAATATGAGGTTGAACATATCCTTTGAAAGGTTATATACTGATGATGCTATTAAAGTATCCATTTGATTCTTCATTTAAAAGAAAAGTTATACAACTATTACGTGCAAAGTGCAAAAGTAACCTGATTGAATTATAGGAATTGTTACTGGGCAAGCAAATATGATTTTATAAAGATTTCTCTGTTTTATGTCAATGAATGGAATTGGAATTACATAAGTACATCTGTTGGATACGTAGGAGACTGTGGATTAGAGAGATTATAGCCTGGGAGAAGGACTCTTAACTGATCTGAGCTCCTAAGATGCCTTCCTCACTGAACAGATGTCAGCAACTGAGGAAGCGAAGGAGAAAATAGCTATTCAAGCTATACATTGAGGTTTCTTTTTTATTTTCACCTTGCTTAATGAAGGAAAACTTTAATTTTCCTGTCTCCATGCCGTGCTATTGGATCAAAGACAGGGGTCACATTAAGGTTTTACTGCAAATGTGGTTCCCAAAGATTTAGGTTTTACTGCAGTTAGTTTTTCCAGGATAATGCTATGTATCACTCATCGGTGTCCCTGTTATTTTCCTTTTGATTAATCTTTTTTTTTTTCTTTTTTTCTTTTTTTAAGGGGGGTGTGGGTAATATTCTTCTGAATTGTCGATTGACTGTCTCTGGCTTTTTATTTTTATAAAATGATTCTTTTTTTTTTTTTTTTGCGTGAAATTTTTTTATAAAATGTTTGCATTCCTTCATTTTGCGATTGATCCATGAAAGAGTACTAATTCAGCCGAAAAGCCAATGAATTAAAATGGGCCTATAAAGCATTATACGGGATAGGTGCAAAAAAATTAATTAGCCTGCAAAAACAGTTGGAAATTGGATTGCGAATTGAGCTACTCAGGTCCAATCTAAAATAGTTGACGAATTGAGTTGGCTCGTTACTTGTCACATATTTTCTTGGGCCAATTGGGCCACTTCAAAAAGTTTACATATAGAAAAATCAGTTTGAAAACCTGGGCTGTATGGCACAAAGACATTTCCCGATTGGGAAACTAAAATATATTCACAAATGAAAACCTATTTTTGTAGGCAATTTATAAAAGGAAAACCCATTTTGAATCTTCAACCATTCAGTGCATGTTACTAACCTTCGAATTCTAAATATTTTCTAGGAAAAACATGGTAAAAAATTACGAAGTCATATGAAAAACCCTCAGCAACTCTCTACTAGACTTCAGGAATCAGCAAGTCCTAGCAAGAGGAGATCCTCCTTCCGGAAGTGGTAACCCTCGAGTCTTGGCTCTGATCTGGACAAAATCTCCAAGCTTATTTACCTGGAGCATTTTCCCTTCCAGGAGCCTTTTTAAGGACCTACTCAGGTCCAATCTAAAATAAAAATTAAGAGAGACCTGTTGTAAGATTCTTCCAAAAACCCAGCAATCTACGTTACTAACCTTAGAATTCTACAACTTTTCCCCGAAGAAACATGGTAAGAAAAAATTACAAATTATAGGAGAAACCCTTCAGCAACTCTGCAATTGAGCAATCACATATAGACAATGGGAAGTAAATGAAAGAATTTTCTATACGCCATTTTATTTACGCATGAATGAAGAATCAATGATACCAATTGTTATTCCAATTATACACTGCAGGGTGATTCACATATAATCAGAAAAACAACAGCAACTGAACACTACAGATTTGAGCCTTAACTGATATTCACTTGCTTAGAACTCGCTGGCCATTCCTATATCGTTCAATCCTTATTATGTTTTTCTCACCTCTTTACAGTATTGAGTATGCTCGGATTACCTCAACAATTGGCGCTCGGCACAATGGGCACTTTCCCCCACCATGGACCAACTCATTTGCACATTTTGAACATGTACACATGTGCCCACATCTGCAAGAATTTTACAATGGGGATGGTGGAACAAAAAATCCACACACATAATCAGTAATAAGAAAAATCAGTTCATGTTTAGCACAGATATATTTTTCTACACCATCTGTGTATGTAGAATTGTAGATAATCCTATAAACAGGAAGAAGGGGAAAAACATAAGAGCGTTAAGCAGGCAAACCTGTATAGAAGTGAATCAATATGACTATCACAACACACACAGCAAGTCCCTTTCCTCACATGACCCCATTTAGAACCATCCTCAGATGTTTCTGCACTCAAACCTGCAATCCAAGTGACTCATTAGAAGTAGAAACAATCATTGTTGCCACATAATTCCAATAAGGAAAATCTTCCAAAAACGAGTGCTCTGCATGAGAGAGATGATTTGATTGAAAGTTTGAAACTGCACAGAAACCTTTTTCACCAACTGATCGATTCAAAGCTGCAGAGACTTCTTGTCTGACAGAGCGCTGCAGCTCCAGTTGCATATCCATGCAGGCCTCCAACATCCTCTGCATGTGGCTCATGCCTTGCTGGAGCCTTGTCATATCTGCTCTTAGATCATTTATTATCTCCCACTCCTGCATCAAGTAACAGCCATTAGAAAACTTCAAAAATGTAAAATAACATAAAATATAAGCTGGAACCTGATTAATTAATTAATTAAAAAAGGCACAGCCATTTCATGTCATATATTAATATGCAGAATAAGAAAAATTATTTGTTCAACTTCCAAGCTGATATAAAGGACAAAGATTAAAAGAAACATGGCTCACAATTTCTGATCGGTGCATGCTATGCCTAGACCAGCTAGTATGATGTAAATCCTGATGCCACAGTGGCTGTGGTGGTGGCACTGGTGGAGAAGGCAAGACCATTGGAGGTCTGCTGATGGCATCAGTCTGATCATCATTTGCTTCACCCCTCTGCTGCTCCTGATCTCGCTCTGGTGGGGTTGGAGTTGGCAAGTTTCTATGCAGATCCCAGTCAATTGGAGCACGACCTTGTCTTTCCACATATGACTGTATCAATTGGTCCAGACTTTCACGAAACCCACTTCGAAGAAGATTAGAGACACTTCTCCTGCAAATTACAGTATACATATCATCAAAGAAGTTCTAGTTGATGCAAAGCACAAATAGCAAAACCTCAAACACTCAAGTACCTGCTAAGAAGTTCCCTGAGTTCCATACTATAAACATTATCATCATCAGGTGGATGAAATCGGTTGAATCTTCTTACTGGAACACCACGACGGGCTCTTGGGGGATCAGAAGGCCCTTCTGACCAATTATCAACAGCTTCCCTGGAGCTATCCTCATCCCAAACCCTCTGTGCTTCCGGTGGATGGGCTTCTTCCCCAACATTTCCTGGAGTTTCTGGGCGATAATCACTAACTGAGTTGTCTTGCCAATTTGCATCCATTTCTTCTGCATTTCCCCCTCTCCATTGGTTGAACTGATCAAAAGTTGACTGTTGCCAGCTAGTTCTCTCATTATTACTATTAGTTTGTTCCTGCCAATTTTCTCCTTGGTTAGCATTTTCTTGCCAATTTATATTCTCATCAACAGATGTGTTGCTATTAAAACTGTCCATTTGATCAGGCAACCTCAAGATATCATTTACCATAGGTTGTGAATGCTCAGTGTTTTCATGTTGGATATCCAGTGAAGGGTTTGTTTGCAACTGTTCATTTCTAGAATCAGTAACACTACTGCTGGATGTAGTATCAGAATTGCTGCTTGCTTGACCGCGGACAATACTCTCTAATCTGTTGCGGAAACCTTCCCTGAATGAGAAAAAGAATTTGGAATCATGAAATGTTCAACCTAAAAACCCTTCTAGTATAAAGTGTCAATGAGAAAGATAACATACCTCAAACCAGACACAGTGTGGCGTTGCCTTAATTGAATTAACTCACTTGCTGCCATAGAAGGTGGTCTCTCCTCTTCTGCCGGTCTTTCACTTCGCAGGAATCTGCCTCTAAGCAATGACTGAAAAGGAAGTTTAAAGTATTAGTAGTCAAGCCAAAGACTCCCACACAACCAAAGAATCCTGATACAGATCAACTTTCAACAGGGTAGATGAGAAAAATTCACCACCATGACACGAATTATAGAGTAGGTGTGAAATAACTAGAAAAGGCTGTTCTTAGTATTGATAGTCATTTTAATTTAGAAGGCGATAAAAGATTTTCAACTAGAAATCAGTTTGTGTATTTTTAACTCTCTTGCTGGCCAGAATATAGAGCGAGTTTATCCAGCATGTGTGGAGGGTGAAGAAAGAAAAAGACTGATTAAGTCAATCAACACATTAGCATTTAAGTCAGCCTAAAGCATCCTGAATGTCGCTGACGTAGGATGAAAACTGCATATTTTACTTAGATTAATGGTGCAGCAAATTAATATTAGAAGCAGTTAACTAATAGATCTAACTGAGACCAAAGTTATTCAAGCCTCCAAAGCCCTAAGATAATGACACCACGTAGAAACAAAAGCACGGAACTTCTAACTGGAATTGAATCTTTCTCATCAAAGAAGGAAACCAGATAAATCTTCATTGCATTTTCTTATTGTTTGTCTTTTCACATTTAACAAGAAGCAGATACACTGGATTTAGCACTTACTGTGACTTGTAGGAACTAACAAGTCAACGAAAGGATACACTTGCATCACAACATCTGTAATACTAAAATATACAATATACGTGTTGATTCCCTTAAATGACACATAGAAATATTTTTGCCCTTATGGTTTAAACTCCTGTAAACTTAAAACAACTGATGGAGTATGATTGGACATAATTCAACTGAAGTGAAACCACAAGAATATGCTAAGTGTTTAAACATGAAAGAAAGGAAACCCTGAATAGGGACTTGCAAAATAAACAACCTTCACAATAAACAACTGACCTGAATGCGATTCCGATGAGCAAAATCAGAGACAGCACGGTGCTCCAACAGACCCTGTAACTCCCGTTGTCTTTCCCTCTCAATTCTAACAAGCAAATCAATTACAGCTTGTCTACCACGCAACCTCAGCAAGTCCCTGCGAATATGTTCTGGTTGCCCTTCATCATGGTCCACAACTGAGCCTTCATGAACTTGGTCAACTTGTGCATCAAGTCCAGCTCCTAGGTTTTCCCTCCGTCCCCCACGTGCTCCTCGCTGCTGACTTGTCATTTGCACCCTCTCTCGGACAATTCTGACCCTTTCACGTTCTGTCTCACCTAGCCATTCTGCTCTCGTACTACCAGTCCTCTGGGTAACATTAGATGAATGATCAGTAATGCCACTATCCATCCATCCTCGAACAATCTGTCGGACCCTCTCCCTCTCAACATCACCAGGATCCGGAGACTGCTCCCTACTAGACGTATTATTGCTCTCATGTTCATTCTGTGACCCACCCTGATCATGCGACCAAGTCCCATACTCATTCTCGCTTTCACTCACATCCCCAACGCTACCTGGATTGTCACTCCCCCGACTCTCTGACATGGTTGTTGTGGACAAATCTGTATTATTATCAACATTTCGTTGCCTCAACCTTTCTCTGACCCTCTCTCGAGCCCTATTCAACAAATGGTCATCCTCCAACTCCCTCCACATTTGCAAAATTGCAGAGGCCTGTGTGGATGGCCTCTCCACAGCCCCCTGTCGCCTTGCAGAGGGCGATTGAGACTCCCTCAAGAATGAGGAGTCAAGCATGGAAACCGTGTGCAAGCCTGCCAAAGCCATCAGCTCAGATTCACGATTCCTCCTTTCAATCGTTGTTATCATCTCCTGTGCCTGCCGCGCAGCCCACCTGCTCAAAATCCGCGAGTGACGCCGTCTAGCAGCTGAAGACTCAGCCAAGTCATCACCCTCAAGATCCGACCTCCTCCTCCTCCGCACAAGCTGATCCCCTTCATCGTCCTCATCATCCGGATTACGTGTCGAGCTACATGACGCAAATGGCATACAATCATCCAAGTGGCCACGCATCAACTCCTCCAATCCACGCTCAAAATCCACACGAGCATTATTGGTGGATTCTGGTTTTTGCTGTAACGTTTGAAAATCAGTCATCCCCACCCCTAATTCCTACCTCTCATCCCCACACCCTAAAATCCACACCATAGCTAAACCTAATTACCCTTGCTTAATTAAAAACAAAAACAAAACAAAAAATTCCACTAATACAACGCTAATCAAAACATCAAAATATACATAACAATACCCTAATTTATCTCATTTCCCCACCCCAAATAAAAAATTAAAAAAATTGCCTATAATACTGTAATCGACAGAGCCCAATCCATAAACCTGATAATAATTGCGCGTCAAAATACGGAAATTAAACAACAAAAAAAAGAAAAAAGAGAAAAAGAAGGAACAATGGGATCAAATATATGAAATTAAGAAATGACAGAATTGACGGTGAAATTCAGGTGAAAGAGACGAACCTCGAACGTGTTTTCCTTCTCGTCAGGCAAAATTAAGAAACCCTAGCTCTCTGGTATCAGAGAATGAGAACGAGAAAAGAGAAACACAAATTTTGCAGAAAAGAAGAGGAGAGATTAGAGAATCGAAGGAGATGGGAATTTATAATTACGTTTTTAGAGAGAGAATGTAGTGGAAATATGAGAGAGAGAGAAGGGAAGAGATTAGTACTAATTTTTTTCTTTTTTTTTTTGATTTTTTGGAGGGGAGGATTTTTGGTTTATGTTAAAGAAAAAAAAATGTCGCGGATCTACAGGGGGAGAGTGAGACGGAGAAGGAGGGAAGGGAGAAGCCAATTTACAGAGAACCGACACGTAATCAACTTTACTTTACTTTAATTGGGTTTAATAATGGTTAATTTCTCTCTCTCTTGGTCAACTACGGTTTCCACGTAAGTAAATATTTCGATTTCTCTCTCTCTCTCTCTTTTTTTTTTTAAAGCAAATAATCACCTTTCTTTTCTTTCTTTTTTTAATA